TGCGTTTGAAACTAATAAGTGGCTTAAGGTCGTCTTGTCGCTTTGCGTGCGAACATATGTATATAGTGGCGCAATATGTCTTTTCAGAGGCGTCACAAAAGCCGTGTAGTTCGACTTTCTGCTCTGGGATATAATTTACCCATCGTGGGATTTGTATTTGTGTGATGTCGTTTAGATTGCTCGCGAACTGGGACCTTTTTTCTAAACAAGTGGTTTTATTTGCTCGTCCCAGTCGGTACCATCTAGCCATAATTCTTGTATCAGGATTTTGGCTTGTATCATAATTAGCGATAGCCATCCTGCAGGGTCAAAGAGTTTTGCCACAGAGGAGAGAATTTGGAGTTTTGTGATGGCGGATAATGCGGATATGGACTCAGTCGTGTATGAAAACTGGTCCGATATCGCAATCCATTTGATGCCAAGAGTTTTTGTGTAACTTTCCTTTTCGAATATGAGGCAATTAGTGTCCAACTAATGTTCTTTAGGAATATTTTTCAAAATATTTGGGTGATTTGTCGTAATCTTTCTTAGTGAAAACCATGCGGATTTGAGGGCTTGGATTACCTGTGATAATGATTCGTATGCTTGTGGAAGACTATGACATCCTGATAGAATATCGTCTACATACGTTTKTGTTTTTAACACCTTGGTTGCCAGAGGAAATTCTGACTTGGTGTTTTCAGCCAATGGGGCACAGTTAATGCCTTTGTGTTTAGCTTAAAGTCGCGTAGTGGACTATTGGGAGATTTGCGGAAAATAATTCCCTGAAAATCTTGATCGTCTTTATGTACGACTATTTGTCTACACATTTTTTCAACTTCCCCGTTGTATACGTATGTGAATATACGCCAGTTTAGAATAAGCAGCATTAAATCTGGTTGGAGTGTGGGTCCCTGCATGATGTGGCTAGTAAAATGAGTATTATTTGCCATTGATGATTTTTTCTTCCTTCCCCCAAAATTTTCTCAATTGTGAATTGAGATTTCCTCAATTTGAGTTGTCATTATTGTGTCTGTTTTCGTAACTAGTCCACTTAGGATCCAACCGAAAATAGTCTTTTGTGCCAAAAGTGTGCTTGAAATTTTCTCAATACATTCGAGTATTATCTGTGGTATGAGATCGCTGCCTTATAGAAGGTCTATTACCGAATTTATTTGTTATTATTTAATTGCTAATATAAGTAATATTTATTTTATTAATTTGTTTTTTGTTTGTATGTCTTATAGGATATACCTATAGACGAAACCGTTTGTATGTACTTGCAACTGAGTGCTCGTATAAGAGATCAGTGCTTTTTGTACATATGTATATACGCAATCCTGCTTGTTTTTGCTTATCAAAGAACAAGGGGTATTGCCGAAAATGTGCCAATTTGGACTTTGAAAATGTAAATTAAATTGTTCGTAATATTTAATTATTATTTTATTTATATAAATATATTTTAATACTTCAGCTTTTTCTACCGAACCGTTTAATAGGTATTTTGAGGTACCCTCGTAGGGTACAATCAACGTTCGGTATATAATTATGTACAAGTTTACATATATGCAAGCGTGCATATATTGTGTCTTAGTCGAGCGAGCACGCATAACTGAGAAACGAAATAATCGTGTGTGCACTTAGATTAGTAAATGTGCACTCTTTGTATATCAAGTAAATATGTACTGTCTATTGGCCTGTACTCAAATGTTCTCAAATGGTTGAATTTCTAATAAATATATATATGTACATACGTTTAAATTGGTGCATATATGGATATATTTTCCATTCGGTTTTCTTTACCTTCTTCTTTTTTTTTAATTATTTTATATGTATAGTATAGTTTTTTGTTTGGCAATCCTGCTTATTGCTGTATCAAACATAAGGGGTATCACCGGACATAAGTATGTATGTGCAAGTAAAAACTTGAATTTTGTTTTTTATTTGTGGATATGTTGTGTTTTGATACACGAAGGTAAGCATTAGTGGCCTATAAATAATCTTTATATATTATATTTGGATATATATACAGAGCATATAAATATATATATATAAACACATATGTATATAAATATATATGTACTGTTATGCCAAACAGTTTTATTATCGGTATTCCGTTTTAACCGAAAGTTACTTATGGAGGCTTGGCAACCGGTGTTTTTGCAAAAGCAAAAAAATAAAATAAGAATAACTTGATGAGTTATTCTATGCAAAGTTTTTTTTTTTTTTTGCAAATAAAATAACCGAAATGAGAATAACTGGATTAGTTATTCTATACAAATAAATTAAATTTGACGCAAAATTTTTAACATAATGATACATACTATGTATGTAAGTCTATGCAGAAGATTTAAATCAAAAATGCAATACTAAAAGGAATCGATACGACTCACTTTGTTATCCGTCATGGGATTTTGGTGATTACGGTAGGCCAATGTGTATAGTAGTTCCTTTGGGCTATTCCAAATCCAGCCCTGGAATGCTGCGGTGACTTCCTAGTGATTTTTTGTTTTGTTGGTTTTACTCCATGCATGTTTTATATTAATATATATTAGTTACACACATTAATGGTTTTATATTCCAGCCCGCTGTTTTTTGGTTTATTATACTGTATTTTTTAATTAGGTGTTTTTATTTCTTTTTCCGTGTTCTTTTTTTTGTTTCTTTTTTTTTTGTGAAGTAACTGCTTATTTTTTTCACCGCACTGTTATGTATGTATGTGTATTCTTATTGTTCTGTGTTATGTCAACTATTTTCCGCTTGAGGCACTGCATTTTTGTATATATGCATTTTTTCTGCATTGTCACTGCATATATTTTCACTTGTGCCCTGTTTTATATGTATAAATATATTATACGCGTATTAGGGTGATTAAATTTTTTTTTCGTTTAGTACTCTGAAAAATAGGTTCCTATACACCTCTAAGGAATCCTCTCCAAGAATGAGTTCTTAATTGTAACGGGAAGGTCCTCCTACTTACAGTTTTCTATTTTTTCTCATTATCAGATAGAAAAATTTATATCTCGCTTCCAACCACAAACATATTTTGTTCCTTACATTTTGTAGGAAATTGAATGCTCTACAAAAATGTCTGATACGATTTTTTCGTAAACCCAACCGTTTAAAAGATACTAACGGTTGAAATTTGATTATTTTAAATTTTTCGGGAAAATTTTTATTTCTATGCATTTTATAACTCAATGAAAAATATTAGGTATATGGGGGCTAAGGGAAGTATTGGTCCGATTCAACCCATATTTTACATATAGACATACCATTATAATCCTTTAATTTCATATCATAAATTTCGCACATTGAGCGAAATTTTTGATCAAAAATCAACTTTATGTTCGGTTAAAACAGACGGGAATGACTAAATCAACTAAGCTCAAAAGGCAGATAATTTGAAAATTTATTTTATAGGGTCTCCGATGTTTCCTTCTATGTGTTAGAAACCTAAGGGTTTAGGGTATAAAACAATTCAAAAGTATATGTAGGACTGTGTAAACGGACAATAAGACTGAAACAGAAATGCAAGACTGCGTAGGTAATAGATGTGACAGGAGCGGACGAACTGGAATGACAACGAAACAGTAGGTACGAAGATGAATGAAGGACAGACTACCGGCAACCAAGGACCACTCCACATGCAAGTGTGAATATAAAGTAACGTAAAATAAAAAAACTTTGTAAAACACTAATAGTATGTACAATTAGAGTAGAGGAAATACTTGCGATTTATATTTAAAATAATTATTACAAATACAAAAGAAAAGGGTGAACTTTTAAAAAGTATCCTACATATAAGTATATGTACTAGAGGACCCGTCCAAGCTTCACTGTGGCTGATACATAAATATACTACCATCTATATAATTTCTATTAGTTGGATTATAATTATTAGTAAATAAGCTTGCATCTTGTGTTAGTTTACAAAAAATGGATCATAAAGCATTTCGTGTGTTAATAAAGCATTGCTTTTTGGGGGAAAATACTGTTGACGTTAGGCTCAGGGAAACCACCGCTAAAAAGATATTTGCTAAGTTGGAAATAGGCGAAATCAGCACCGAGGAATATGTTGCTCTAAAGAGGCGAAAGCTCTGTGCAAAGTGGGTGACTCGCAAGTTCATAATCCAACGAAGACAACAAATAACTGATTTTGAGAAGTGTTTAAGTGCTCTCTAATAAGCCGAATTTTTTCGTCGGTGATAGAAACATAGCTTCATCTTTTCCCACTGGAGTCCAATCGACAGTCAATCTAGTGGACTGCACATGATGAACCGGTTGTCAGGAAAGGTTATTACATCAATATTTTGGGATGCATGTGGTATAATACATATTCAATGACTGAATACTGATCCAGTTAGAATCTATTTCACTGCATATTTGGTTGCACTTCTTTCTACTATTCCAAATACTTAGCAATAGTATTATTTTTGAGAAGGATGATATTCAAATGATTCCTACAAACATGAATTTTAAATTTTTTTATTTTTTTTAGCCAAATCGGTTCAGTCGTTCCGGAGTTATAAATGGTGTAACTAACAACAAATTTCTTTTATATATATAGAAACGTGAGGTTGCTTTTATTATTTTTGAAGAAATGAAAAACTCAAATGATTCATACAAACGTGAATTTTAAACAAATGCCTATGATTTAAAATAAAATTTTTGTATTTATGAGTTGTATTAAATT